CAGTTTTGAGAACCGTGGTTTTGTAGTATAGCTTGATATCTGGTATTGAGATCTCTCCAACTTTGTTCTTTCTCAGGATTGCTGCAGCTATTCGGGGTCTTTTTTTATTCCATGTGAATTTTTGGAGTTTGTTCTAGGTCTGTGAAATATTCCATTGGTATTTTAATGGTGATTGCATTGAATCTATAGATTACATTGGGTAGTATGGACATTTTAATGATGTTGATTCTTCCAATCCATGATCACGGTATATTCTTCCATTTGTTTATATTCTCCTCTATCTCTTTTTTCAAAGTCCTGTAGTTTTCTGAGTACAGGTCTTTTACCTCCTTAGTTAAGTTTATTCCTAGGCATCTTAATTTTTTTTGCAATGGTAAATGGGATTGCTTTTTTAACTTCTCTTTCTGTAAGTTCATTATTGGTGTATAAAAAAGCCATAGATTTCTGGGTGTTACTTTTGTATCCTGCTACATTGCCAAATTCATTTATTAAGTCTAATAGTTTTTTGATGGAGTCTTTAGGGTTTTCTATGTACAATATCATGTCATCTGCAAATAATGTGTCATTTATTTCTGCCATTTATTTCTGCTCTAATTTCCTTCCTTCTTCTTACTCGTGGCTTGTTCTTTTGCTGGTTCTTTTAGTTGTAGGGTTAGATTGTTTGAGACTTTTCTTGTTTCTTGAGGTAGACCTGTCATGTGATGAACGTCCCTTTCAGGACTCCTTTCACTGAGTCTCATAGATTTTGGGTTGTGTGTTCTTTGCTAGAATACAACTGATCAAGTATAAATGACTGGCATGTCCAGAAAATTTGCTGAATTGTAAAAATAACCTTGTGGTTGCTTTATCTCCTTCATGTGAAGATGTTTCCATGAAAAGTACAGGGTACCCATCACTAGTGAGAAAACAAGGCTGCTTCCCACCACTCTGACTTCTAGAGGCTAACCCAGGGGAGGGGCTCAGCCCAGGGAACTGAAATCTACACCAGAGTCATCTAACCACAGCCCCCCAGGACACGTAACATGCCGAGGACACCCTACTGATGAGACAAAGACCAGCTTTGTCAGCACTGACATCTGTGGCCCTTCCAGACTAGTCTTCAGTGTCCTCCTTTCATTATGTAAATCACAACAGTGGTTCTCAACCTTGGCTGCACATTAGAATCACCCGGGAATCTTTTTAAAATCCTGATTTCTGGGCCTCATCCTCCAGAAATTCTGTTTCTTTGTTATGGGGTGGGGCCACAACATTAGTAACAAAGAAACAGAATTTCCGGAGGATGAGGCCCAGAAATCAGGATTTTAAAAAGATTCCCAGGTGATTCTAATGTGCAGCCAAGGTTGAGAACCACTGCTCTACTTGGAGATAGGACCTATAAGGAGGCAATTAAGGTTAACTGAGGTCAACAGGACAGGATTAGAGTCCTTATAAGAAGAAACATCAGAGAGCCCTCTCCCTCTCCCTCTCCCTCTCCCTCTCCCTTTCTCTCTCTAAAATTAATAAACATGTCTTCAGGTGAGGATTAAAAATAAATTTTAAATTTAAAAAAAAAAAAAAAAGTTTCTACTTAGACCTGAGCCCAGGTCAGTAGGAGTGAAGGTGGGGATTCCATGAGCTCCCCCCATCACCATGGGGGAGGGGGGATACACAGATACAAAGCAAAGGCAAATGAGACAAAGGAACCTTGCCCCCCAAGATGTGAATTTTGCTTTCCTGTGTCCCTCACAGAAGGCCAGCAAAGCTCTGGAAGTGGTTGACTTTTGTAGCAGGTCACGGGGCCACTGTGGATGGTCTGAGGTTCACTTGAAATAAGCACCAGCTGACCCGGGAAAGGGAAAGGCGCCCAGAGCTGGATGGTTCCGAGACAAAGGAGCCTTGCACCCCAACATGTGAATTTTGCAAAGCTCTTGAGCGGGTTGACTTTTGTAGCAGGTCACGGGGCCACTGTGGATGGTCTGAGGTTCACTTGAAATAAGCACCCAGCTGACCCGGGAAAGGGAAAGGCGCCCAGAGCTGGGATGGTTCCATGTCCCTGCAGGTAGAAGGTCACGAGTGAGACCTGAAAGAAACACGGAGCCAGGCGCACACCTGGCCCTGGGGGCAGGGCCTGCTCACCACAGACCACCTTGGCCCAGCACGAAACCCGGATGTTTCAAAGGAAACCGCAAAGAACCAGATTCCCTAGATCTGAAAACCAGTTATGAGTGAATGTCTGAGTTTCACCTTTGAAATGAGGGTGTGCAGCTTTTCTGCCCAGCTTCCCCTGGATGCCCCGAAACAGCAGCTAACTGTGGCTCAGACAGGAGAGCGTCCGGTATACCCTCCCGCAGGATGGCAGGGTTCCTCTGCTTTTCGTGGGACTTGAGCTGATGGGGGGCGGGGGGGCAGGGCAAACAGTGGCTTCATACCGGGTACAACCAGGATAATTATTCACACCCACCTTTTCTTTACCCCATGACCCTCACTCCAACCACAGGCTCTCCTGATTCCCACAGAACATCGCAGCCCAACCTACTCGTGGCCTGCCATCCTGTTCCTCCCCCACCCGAACCCCATTTCCTCAGGGTCCTCAAAGTGCCCGCTTAGCTCCTAGACGTGTTGGAGGGAGTCAGCACGCTCATTCTAGATGGGTTTGCATTTTTAATTTTATATAAACGGAACTGTACTCTTTTATGTCTGCATTCCCTCATGTAGCATGATTTTTTATTTTTTTCAACCCTCACCTGAGGGTATTCTTTGTTATGGGGTGGGGCCACAACATTAGTAACAAAGAAACAATTTCTGGAGGATGAGACCCAGAAATCAGGATTTTAAAAAGATTCCCAGGTGATTCTAATGTGCAGCCAAGGTTGAGAACCAGTGCCCTAGCAGCTGAGCTGGAGAGCACTAAAGGTCAGACCACAGCTGTCAACAATCATTAAAAAGCATAAAGCACTTTACAAATATAAAAGTGCTAGTTTTTTTTATTTGTGCTACTTGGCAGTTTTGCATTTACTCCTCACAGGGGAGGGGGGTACAAAGCAAATGCAAATGAGACAAAGGAGCCTTGCACCCCAACATGTGAATTTTGCAAAGCTCTTGAGCGGGTTGACTTTTGTAGCAGGTCACGGGGCCACTGTGGATGGTCTGAGGTTCACTTGAAATAAGCACCCAGCTGACCCGGGAAAGGGAAAGGCGCCCAGAGCTGGGATGGTTCCATGTCCCTGCAGGTAGAAGGTCACGAGTGAGACCTGAAAGAAACACGGAGCCAGGCGCACACCTGGCCCTGGGGGCAGGGCCTGCTCACCACAGACCACCTTGGCCCAGCACGAAACCCGGATGTTTCAAAGGAAACCGCAAAGAACCAGATTCCCTAGATCTGAAAACCAGTTATGAGTGAATGTCTGAGTTTCACCTTTGAAATGAGGGTGTGCAGCTTTTCTGCCCAGCTTCCCCTGGATGCCCCGAAACAGCAAACTGTGGCTCAGAGACAGGAGAGCGTCCGGTATATCCTCCCGCAGGATGGCAGGGTTCCTCTGCTTTTCGTGGGACTTGAGCTGATGGGGGGCGGGGGGGCAGGGCAAACAGTGGCTTCATACCGGGTACAACCAGGATAATTATTCACACCCACCTTTTCTTTACCCCATGACCCTCACTCCAACCACAGGCTCTCCTGATTCCCACAGAACATCGCAGCCCAACCTACTCGTGGCCTGCCATCCTGTTCCTCCCCCACCCGAACCCCATTTCCTCAGGGTCCTCAAAGTGCCCGCTTAGCTCCTAGACGTGTTGGAGGGAGTCAGCACGCTCATTCTAGATGGGTTTGCATTTTTAATTTTATATAAACGGAACTGTACTCTTTTATGTCTGCATTCCCTCATGTAGCATGATTTTTTATTTTTTTCAACCCTCACCTGAGGGTATTTTTCCACTGATTTTTAGGGAGAGTGGGAGACACGGGGGGCGGGGAGACACATCCATTGGTTGCCTCCTGCACACACCCAGACAGGGGCCAGGAACCTGCAACCTAGGTACATTCCCTTGCCAGGAATCAAGATCCGCAGGCCGACACTCTTAACCACCCAGCAACCGGCCAGGGCGTTTTTGATGTCCTCGCTGACAAAGCTGGTCTTTGTCACAAAGTATAGTGTCCTCGGTATGTTACCTTTCTACTAGGGGCTGTAGTTAGAGGACTCTTCGATAGCATGATTTTAAAATCCATCCATCTTACTACATGCATATTAGTACATCCATACACTACATCAACAGTGCCACTCAGTGTATATTCACCTTTTAATAGACATCTGAGTAGTTTCCAGGTTTTGGCTGTTATGAATAAAGCTATTAACGGATATTCAATACAGATTGTTGTGTGAGCGTATAGTATAAATACTTGGGAGTGGAAGGGCTATTCATGATTGGTATGTTTGTGATTCAGCTTTTCCAAGTGCTTGTACCATTGTTCATACCGTAAGAGGAGGAGACCTCTAGTTGCTGTACATCCTCAGCACATGTGGACTTTTCAGGTTATCTTAGCCATGGTAATGGATGTGTAATGGTAATTCACTGTAGTATTCATTTGTTTCCCTGAGGACTGAGGCAAGCATCTTTTCATGGGCTTTTGGTCATTTATATATCTTCTTTTGACCAATTCTAATATTGTAAGATCAGTACACTGAAAATCACAGAACTAAATAGATAAAACTTCTTGTGGGTTGGAAGACTCAATATGGTTTAGATGTCAATTCTTCCCAAACTGGTCAAAAGATCTAATACAATCCAAAATTCCCAGCAGGTATTTGGTATTTATAAGCTGATTCTAAAATTTATATGGCCCTGGCTTGTGTGGCTCAGCTGACTGAGTGTTGACCCATGCACCGAAGGGTCCCTGGTTCGATTCCTGGTCAGGGCACATATTCAGGTTTCGGGTTCAATCCCGTCAGGTGTGCACAGGAGGCAGCCGATCGAAGATAATCAGTACAAACATATAAATGCAAATGATTTTAAATTATCAAAGCAACTTTATGGCGCTATTTTTATAAATTTCATTATTTTTTATCCCTCCAAAATACATATAAATGGAAACCTGCTCTTCAAATGCAGGGGAAGGCCTCTGCCTATAATTTAGTATTACATCATAAAACATTCTGATATAAAAATAAGTATGCAGCTCTTACACACTATACATATATACACACACAATATATTTGTAAGTAGTTATGAACTTTCTACTTAGACATATTCCTTTAGTAGAAAGTTAGAAAACTGGGCAATTCCCATGCTTTCCAGCCCTGGGAAGATAAATATAAATATAACCTCTCTGATTTTTTTTTTTTAAAGATGAAACATGTAAATGACACAACTTATTTAGACATGTACATATTAGAGTACAGCAAGGACAGTGCCACGTAAATGACAGTGTTTCTCGAAGAGATAAAATTTGAATAAAAATGCAAAGTTGAACAGATAAGATGACCAACACTGTTATGTACACACTCCAGGGGAAATCAGAATTCTCTCACTAGAAACAGACCCACACCCATCCCAGCCTCCCATGACGTCAGCACCCGCTGGCAGCAGTCGCGATCTTCCTGTAGTCACCTGCCTAAGCAGGCTCCATAAGGCATCTGTTTAAGTCCAACTGTCAGTAATAAGGGCAATGAGAAATCCCCATTCCCCCAAAAAGAAGTGTAAAATCTACTTCTGTGACTCAAAAGTTCAACCAGGTCAAAGCTCTGATGAAAGGCCACTTGTCAATTTCTTTTCCTAAAACAGTCCCAACTCCCTGCCATGTAGACACACATTATACATACAGGGCACTAATCACCCAGAAGCCAGCCAGGAGTCTCAGCTCGACTGCACTTTAGTTAGAAACAACTAATTTATTAAGAGAAGGATAAGCAGTTCACAAGTAGGATATTTCTATATACAGAAATAATCTGTAAGAGTTAGTTTAAGGAGGCCGCTCTAGGTCATTTCCATGGTCCTTTCAGCTCTCCATGACCCTGCATTTGTGGGCAGAGGACATTCAACTGTGCACCTGTCTCAGCCGGAGAACGCAGGGTCACAAATCTGCCAGGGCAGAAATAAGATACTCTTGAAATGTTAACTCTAGGGAAACACACACCTAGTTAAAAAATTTCTTTGCCTTCTGCTAGATTATAAGGGGACCAACTCCTGAAAGGCCCAACCTTCGAGGCACAGAAAAGATTTTAAATGACTCATTGGTCAAGTCCAAGCAATGGAGCCCACAGGCAAAGCAGGGCCACATCCTGGGATCCTCCGCAGACGGTAAGCTCTTACTTGGCTCCTGGTAAGCAGACTTGGCCTCTAATGCTGCTTAGTTCAGAAGTCCTTTTTAAAAGTAGAAAAAGCACCACATTTCAGTTCTAGGTCAGTGTTAAAATCAGCTTCTCCCTCTTTTTCCTCTTCCTCTTCTTCTCTTCCAAGTGGCTGGTCGCATCAGCGAAAAACATAACTTCACTTTTTGCCTCGCACTCCCTCTTGAGATAGTTAAGACCCGCCAGGTTGAAGCCGATAACATCCTGAGTAGAAGACAGAAAGGTGAAACTTGTCTCACGTGAGCTCAGTACCTTAAGAATCAGCTTATGTGAGCCAGGGGCCAGTAAGCCTGGGGCCCTGTGTTCCTATTCCTACCAGCTCCCCCGCCAAGCTAACCTCAAATACAGATCATGTCTGGCCAACACCACCCAAGACAGAAGGAGCCCAGGGCGCTGTGCCTAAGTCACACACTAGGGTCTCCCCCTCACTGCTGTAGCTCTACAACATACTTACCCGGACTTGGCTGACTTTTGAAATAGTTGTTTCCTTTAATTTTTCAATCACTGGCACAAGCATTTGGTTGCTAGTGATCTGCCCAAAGTGAATCCTAATAGAAAAAGAAAACAGCCATATTTTGAAGAGGGGTAGTGAGTGGGCTGACTCTACTTACCCCTTCCACAAATAGCAAACAGACACAATAGCAAAGCAAAAACACTTGTTAAGGCATCATGGGAATAGAGACGTTTCTAGTAAAAAGGGGAAAGGACTTTATTCCCTACTATTCAGTTCTATCTGATAACAGTTTAAAGACACTGTGCCAGACCCTATCAGAGGTTCAAACTCAGACCTGGAGGACCCAGACACCTTGATGAGCACAGGCTCCTTCAACCCCACTCACCCTCGCCTTCGACTGGGACCTGCCATCTCTACCTGTGAGGTAACTGGTACCCACCTACAACCCTCGGATATGCTGGCACTCAGGGTGTTTCTTTTAGAAAGAGTAATCCTGATTCAACAGCTCATATGCCACAGCAACAAGAAATTATTAGTAATACTGTTAAGTCCTTACAATTTGCCCCAAATTCTAAATATGGCAACAGAACAATGTAAATATATTGTTCTTCTTTCGCTAACATCCAAATAGAAAAAGTATGGAGGAGAGCTAAGAATCATGAAAACAGGCCAATTCACCAACTTCACTAAACATACCTGTTTCTTTGAACTACTTGGTATTGGCTGACCAGTTTTTATTTTGTCCTAACAGCATTTTAAGGAATGTCCAATTTGTCTCTTCATGTTCTCTGTTCTATCAGCTTGAAACAGAGTAATACATTCTTAAGCCTTTGTAAATAGTCCTCTCAATTACACATGAATAAGAATTCTTCATATTTGAGAATATAATCTAATGAACATATTTTCCGATTTAGTTTCTTTTATATATGCCCTTCTTTTGCATCTGTACCTCTACAGACCTGGAAAATAATCCATCATTCCTGAAAAGGCTGTTACAAGGACAAGACAAAACCATTAACTTAAACTTACAAATGAGGCAAACTGCTTAGACCCAGGCTGTTGGACTGCAGCCTGGAGACTGACGAAGCATTCCTGAGCAATGTTAACCTCACAGTACTTGTTTTAAGGGCAAAACTGATTCTGACTATTCTCAAGGACAAGGAATAATTCACGCCAGGCCGCACTGAAGTTCTGTGACAGTCCCTGAAACCGAAACATCGGTTTCTTCATCCCAAAGTGGTGACAGCTTCAGTGAAGGTTCCACTGGAGCAGTTGTGCTGAGAAGACAGGGTCTATCCTGGAAAAGGAGTTACCTGAGGAGGAAGAAGAGGCACCTACACAGAAGTTCCACGTCAGAGCCCAGCTGGATGAACTCATTGAAGAGTCTCAGGATGTCAGGGACGTAGGAGAAAGGCAGCACCAGCAGCGACTCTTCCAGCTCACTGAGGAGAAAGCGTCACAGTCAGCGCAGCCATCTTAAAGCTTTCCTCGACTATTTTTCCTACTGCTTTTATCGAACAGACCTTATCCATTTAGAGTGAAATTCAATATTCTAGATGGTTCTCTTTTCAATGGTTTTTTATATTTAATATTTTAATCTATTGGATGCATTTTGGTCCATGGCACAGGAGAATCTAACTTTTTATTCTTCTAGAAACCAATTTCTCCAAAGCCTATTGTTCACTATTCCATCTTTATTGAGTCCTTATAAAAATTGTCTGTTTGAGGCCTTCTGAGTAAGTTTTGATGATCAATTGATTCTGACAACAACCCTGTACTATTTAAATTTTGCCAACTAACAGGTTTTTGTTTGTACGTTTTTAAATCTAGGGGAATAGCTCCCCCTTGTTGCTCTGGTTTCATTTGTTTTACTTTTCTTGAACTAATTCTAGCATTATTTCAGCAATTCCAAGAGGATTTCAAATGGAATCACAAAACTGTAAGTTAAAGAAAAAAAAACCTTTAAAACACAGATTCTTCCCACCTAGGAACACACTGCACCTCCATGAATCTAAGCTCCCGTTACATGTCTCTAGTGAAGGATCCTGTTTACTACTTGTAAGACACATTTAGATATTGTAGCTCAAGCTCACAAGTAAAATCAAAAGGGAAATCACAAATAAGAAACATTATTCCAAAAATATACGACAAAAGACATAGAAATTATTAAAAACCAGTAAGGGCTAACAAATACAAAATTTTAACTTCAATAATCAGAGATAAAAATCACCTTCAGAAAAATAATGACAGATTTCTACGTAAAGGTGTTCACTGAAGCAATATTGATAATAGCAAAAGACACGTAAACTCCAATAGTAATTATTTGTATAATGGAATATTTTGAACTAATTCAATGATTTTGGTAAACGCTTAAGAAATATTCTGTGAAAAAGGACAGGATACAAAATTGTATGCAAGATGGTTCTAACTGTTATGTGCACAGGAAATAAGTCAAAGAAGCACACTACAAAGAATGTTAGCTGCTGCTATGACTGAATTACAGAGATCAAGCATGTCAAACTCAAAGGCTAACACAGGCCAAATAAACGAAGCATGCGGCCTGCAAGTTTGACATGCTTGATATAGATGATTTCATTACCTACAATATAAAGTAATACTACCCTTCATTTCTCCTTAAAAGTAGAGCCTCTTACCTCTACTTCAAAAAGAACATTATAATAAATTATTTTCCCTCAAAATTTTGACAGTTAACCCTATAAGGATGATGGATTATAATTTCTCCTTATCTCATGTTTAGATACACACTCAATAAATGTTGTTAGCTGACCAGTGATAATAACTGTGCACTGAGACGCACCTTGACTTGATTCCTTTAAAAATCTCCAACACGTAAGCTGAAGGCTACAAAGGAAGGACAAAGGCATTAGTGACACAGTCTTGACTGGTTTCTACTGAATCTCTCATTTCCTAAAATCCAGGATCCTCTCTCACGAGACAGTGTACTGAAATGGCAAGACGTGCATGGACCCAGTGTTAGTCAGCTCTGGGCTCACGATCCAGCTCTGCCACTTACCAACTAGTCACCTGTAGCTCTAAGTCAGGCCAGTTTCCTGCCTGTAAAAGGAAGATGCCCTGACTCAGGACTGTTGGGAGGAATGAGACATGCAAGTCACGTTCTAAGGAACTGGAGACGGTTGGTAGTTGCACTGCACATTACTCTCCCTCTCTCTCCTGTATCTGATTGATGCTAACTTTTCCTCCCACACCTGTAATTTCAAAGTTCATTTAGATGAACAGAATCTTCAGAGGGCTTTGGACACGAAACATGAATAAGCACTAGAAAACGGAAGAATGCCAGGCCAGCCCAACCAAAAAGGATGACCTGGAAGTTACACTAAATTGGTCCTTTACAAATTCAAAGTAATAGAGGACACCACCCTTCAGGAGGGATTTTTAATGACAAAGTATTACCTCCTCCCTCACCTCTGACTGACCAAGAGGAAACTTAGACGTACTCACAGAGATATTGCCGTAAGCCATCAGGATGGGGTTGGTAGGGAGAGGAACCTGTGAAGAAATTATTAAATCCAGTCATTAAAAAATGAGACTTTGAAAGTGTTTGTCATAGACAGGGAGATACTAGTATTTTATATTTTAAAAAGAGACAAGACTAACCCCCAAACAAAGAGTGAGTGTAAAGCACAATCAGGCCTTTCAGTTTCAATAGTGCTTATGAGTGCGTTTGGGCAACAGGTTTCACCAGAAATCTGACATGGTTACCCTGCCTCTGAACCAAAGTAGGAGCGTGAGTGTCTACTCAATAATCTCACTTTGCTCTCCTTCCCGTTTATTAAGACCAAGCTTCCCCCACCCCCCACTTCCTCAATTCGCTCTTTCTAATGTTTGAATGAGAATGAATTCTACTACATCCCTCTCATTTCCTGACCTGAGTTAGTAAGTCCTGAACAATGGTTTTCCTCTCAGGAATTCTCTATCTATAAATGTCTCCAGAGCGTAATGTCATGGGCTATCTTACCTCTTTCCCTGCAGCTTTACAAATGGCTTTGTGTTCTTTCATTTTTGCAGTTTCTTCTCGGTATAGTTCAACAGCCTCCATGATCCTCTCAGCCTACACAGACGAGGACAAAGGACAGAAGTCACCAGGACACACTCCTTCATCCCAGAACACTGCACCTGGAGGGCCTGATGGGAAAATCACCAAAGCGCTTGACCCAGTTTAATAAAGATGTGCCAACAGCGTGGCAAACTGCATGCAAAGGCATCCTTGGTTCTTCTTTTTATTTCTAGGGCGGGACTAAGTGTCTTGGCTTCTGGTAAGAATGGAGGTGGACACCTGGGTAAGGCAGCCCCAGGAACGGCTGAAAGGTGCTACTTTCAGCGTGGCAAACTGCATGCAAAGGCATCCTTGGTTCTTTTTATTTCTAGGGCGGGACTAAGTGTCCTGGCTTCTGGTAAGAATGGAGGTGGACACCTGGGTAGGGCAGCCCCAGGAACGGCTGAAAGGTGCTACTTTTAGGAGACCAAGCTTTCCTTTCTAGAAGGCAAACAGGTGCAGCAACCCCTGTCCTTCTTACAAAGAAGGAAAATGGGTTTTGATCTCCCTATAAATTTAATCTTTTTTTTTTTTTTTGCCACAAGACTATTTGGTTGATAAAGACTATTACTAAAGAGTCCAGATCTTATGAAAAAATGAGGTACTACATTCTATATCAACTTACTGCTTTGACTGTTTCAATAGTTTTCTTTCCAGTAAAGTAATTTTCTCCTTGAGTCTCCCCTGGAACCTGCCAGAAAACAAAGAGATCCTTGAATAATACTTTTGACAAGCATTAAAGAGCCAATAAGTTAACCTACTATCCCTAAAAGAACAGGCACTATGGTTTCATAATAACAACACTGGTCATCAGCTACACTCAGACACCATGTTGAGTATTTTACATGTATTATCATAAGAATATTTTTCTCTACAAATGTTTTAAAATAACACCCAGCTTCTCAATTTTTCCCAATTTTAATTTTTGTTCTATAATGAAATAATTCCCCGAAGTCTCCTAAAAAAAAAAAAAGCCAGAATACAGTTGACTGAAAGGACTACACATAATCTGTCTCACCTCAGCTGGTGATGACCTCGGCATCTGCCCAGTTCTAACTCCCTCAGAAATTCTTGAAATTAGGCTAAATTCCAATAAGATAATTACAGGCACAATCCCAGGATCCCAAGTTTACTTACTGCTGGCTGGTCTTCTTTGGCCACACTCTCCTCATATTCTGCTTCCCTTTGCTGCCAAGAGACAGACAGAAATTAATCTGAAGGAAGAAACATGGTCTCTATGCAAAGTGAAATGAGGAGGAGACAGCTAGGAGCTGCTGCTTCAAAGTCTAATCCCTGTGGCCTCGCCTCTGCCCGGCTGCTGAATGGTGGCAGTCGTCGTGGGAATATCCCCCATCTCAGGCGTCCTTGGACTTGCACTGCCTGAGGGGTGACTAAACCAGACAGAGAACTTGGGTGGGGATAGCGTGTCAGACACCCACCAGCGCATTTGTAACCAGGCCCAAGTCCTTACCATTTCCCTCTCCTCCTCAAGAATAAGAGGCTCCCTTGTTCTCTCCCAAAGTCTCAGAGATTTGTCATGGGACGATGACACGACATAGTCTCCATTGGGGCTTACAGCCAAGCACCATATCTCCTGGTGGTGCCCCTGGAGAGAGGAAAAACAAACCCCCAACCGGGAGTCAGAATGTTACTCACAGACTGCTACCTGCTCACATTAGGGGAGCCAGCACCCAGTCTTTGAAGTACTTCAGTCCCAAGCCAGCAAGCAGGCGGGTTACCTCCAGAGTCTGTATGTGCTCAAAGTTGTCCGCGTCCCACTGCTTGATCTTCCGGTCTTTCCCGGCGGTGAAGAAGAGGTGAGACTTGGGGACAAACTGTAGGTACATCACACTGAAAGGCGAGAAGAGTATTCAAATGTCATCCAAGTCCACGTTATTCAGAGTCTTACATACATCAATAGCTTTTGAATAGCTAGTCCTAGAGTGTCTTATACTTTAGAATTTTAAATGTATGACGATCTGAGACACTAAACATAGACACATGCTCAAGGGAAATGGTACAGGTGACTGAAAGGGAGTCTCTGAAAAGACTGCGCCCACCTGTCATCGTGTGCAAAGAGAGACTTGTGGCAGTCCCCGAAGTCCAAACCCCAGATTTTCACATTCCTGTCGGCAGAGCCGGTTGCTATCAGTGCTCCGTCCTATGAGGAAGAGAGGAAACACATCGCTTTACTTGATTATCCGACTCTGTAGAGAAAGACAAGCTACCAGAACATTTAACCCATTCTCTCCAAAACATGAAAATCAATGCCAAGAAAGCAACCCCATTTCTCTACCAAGAGCACCTACTTTGCCTTTATCCGCAAACCTACTTAAAAGCTTGTTAAGCAAAAGCTTCAATGTTTCTGCAAGGCTACAGGGCCGTGTTGTGCCTTGATGGAGATTGTCTATTGACCTGTTAAGTAGGTAGGAAAAAGAACCTCTAATCTGCTACAGAATTTGGGCGAAGAGAGGGAGAGGGAGAGAGAAAGAAAGAACGAGAGAAGTATCTACTAGAATGTTGGGACCTCGCCATGTTCCCTATTACATTTCTCTCTCCTCTTCCTATTTCAATGCCTAGTTCAAATGGCTGTTAACAAGAAAATCGGAAATCTTTTTCAGCACCAACTTGTTCTGTTAACTCGCTCACTCAAGCACAGGCCCACGCCTTTCATACCGACTGGATGTTGTTTTTAAGTATATATCGCCACCCTAATCACAACTAGACATTGCAAAGATAGGATTTTGGTCAAGAGACTAAGTTCACAGAGTGGAAAATACCTGGATATCCACATAAGCTAAGGCCCATCTTCCTTACCTGCTTTCAAAGCAAAGGGGGTGCCTTTTTAAAGTCTTTTATATGTTAGGGTGCTCTATCAATTATAGTATTTTACACAAAATATTATTTGAGGAATCCACAACAGGGAGCTAGTTATGAGGATTAATTTGTGAAAATATTCTGAAAACATTAAAATATCATATATATATATGTATATATATGATACTTTAGTGTTTATATATGTGTGTGTGTATATATATATACTTTAATATATATATATGTATGATTATAATATATATTATTTTGCTTTTGGGTCGGGGGGAGATATACAACAGAATGAAAAAATAAATATTCTAAAATGACCTATCAAGCCAAGAACTAAGAAAATGCTTTAGAAAAATAACTTGTTACTGAGATACTATTTAAATTTTACTTACATAAGAGATGTCCATGCATATAACAGGCAGTTTGTGTCCATACAGTGAGAGAAAAAACTAAACATAAAAAAGAATATAAATAATTCATGTTTGTCTATAAAATACAGGCATAATTTATTACGTTAATCTAAAATATAACTTCAAAATCCCATGCTAACACTGTCTGGGTCACCTTATGTGTTTATTCTCAAAAGCAAACCCCTGCTGGCAGCCGCACCCGTCTCACTTCATACCCAGCATGCCCTTGCCAAGGACAGGGCAGCCCAGTGGAGCGGGAGGCCCGGAAGCCTCCTGCCTCCCTTGCACACAGCAGAGATGGTCTCTGGATCGCTCAGCTGGAGAGACCCTGGGGCACTTACTTCACACCATTCCCAGGTTCAACGCAGTCCCACCAACCCCGCGGGTAGGGCCCAGTAAACTGTATTGTTAAAGCAACACAAAGACCTTGATATAAAGCCAAGTGTGGAATCACTGCCCAGGACACCCAGCTATGCCCTTGATACTACTGGCTAGGACAGGATTTTCTGAACATATGCAATATAACTTGCTTTAAACAAAAGCTATAAACCAGAAGACTCTTTTAAAACTCTTTTGGCTTTCCTAGGGCACCTACAATGTTTGATCCACATACAAGTTTTTAGAAATATGCTCCTGTTGGGCACTCAAGGCCACTTCTTTTTCTTTTTTAAAAATTTATTTTTATTAATTTCAGAGAGGAAGGGAGAAGGAGAGAGATAAACATCAATGATGAGATAAAGTCATTGATTGGTTGCCTCCTGCACGCCTCCCACTGGGGCTCGAGCCTGCAACCCAGACATGTGCCCTGACCGGGAATAGAACCATGACCTCCTGGTTCATAGGTCAACACTCAATCACTGAGCTACACTGGCCAGGCACAAGGCCACTTCTTTACAATCTCCACCCAGGCCAGTCAGAAAGGGAGAAAGGCATGACCACGGTACCTTTAAGGTGTCGACATAGAAAATCTTCACAGTGCAGTCCAGCAAAGACACAGCCAACAGGTTCTGATGGGGTGAGTACCTGACACTCAGAACTTCTTCATCCAGCTGCAGGGTTCGGGTTTGCTTCACAGAAAGCCTAGCATCACAGAAATCATCCAGAAAAAAACATTGAGTACCTTACAAAGGCAGACGAAAATGCCAAAAAACTCTGGAGCTCAACAGAAATACTCAAAAGTCCATTCAGTGAGTCCCCACTTTCAGTCCAAGAAATGGAGGACAATAAAAAATGTCTACTCACCTCTTCTGGGTACTATTTTCATCTTTCACCAACTCAAAGTCCCAGAACTTGACAGACTTATCTGCACCACCTGTCACAAAGCCACGCTGAAAACCAAATGACATCCCAATTAAAAAGAATTTTAGCACAGAAACCTGGATAAGATACCAAAATAGTATAAAGACCATTTGTCTTCAATGGCATGAGATAAGAACTAAATGTGGTTTCTAACTCCCTCAATCTCTTTAGAGGCTGCTGCTTCAGACCGTATTTGAGAATTCCTAGTGACACAAATGACAGATGACAACTAGTGGAAAGTCCTAGTTATACTTCCGTTCGGCATCAGGAGGAAAGACGCAGTAAGCGTTGGGGGCTTGTACTCCACCTGAGAAGGCAACAGTCTAAGGAATCTGCTACTAAGTAGTAAAGCAGTTCCATAGATAAACAGACTGGATCACCTAAGTAAGTTTGTTCACAGTATTCACCTAAGAGCATAAATGTATCCCTACACTATCGCTGCTTAAAATACGTTAAAATTGCTTCCCAATATCAAGACAATTAGCCTCGTCCCATTGCAGAGCTGGTGTAGTGTCCACAACACAGAGGTAGAAACAATTTCAAGCATCTGGTTGGCCAATTCAGAGATTTGTAACAGGAAACAACTTTACAGTGACGCTTACTGTTGCCGTGGTGATAAAGACCACCTAGTTTACAAAGTCATTGCAAAAATAACAATAATCTGCCCTGACCGGTTGGGCTCAGTGGATAGAGCGTCGGCCTGCGGACTCAAGGGTCCCGGGTTCGATTCCCAAGGGCGTGGGCACATCCCCAGTGGAGGATATGCAGGAGGCAGCTGATCGATGTTTCTCTTTCATCGATGTTTCTAACTCTCTATCCCTCTCCCTTCCTCTCTGTGGAAAATCAATAAAATATATTTAAAAAAATAAAAAAATAACAATAATCTGCATAATGGATGTGAAAATATTTTGGAAGAGATAGACCACTGTACAAATGAAAGATGGTGTAACCATTTAAAATTTACATGCTGCTGCTGCATTCTGACTCCAACAGCATTACCCACTCTAAAATCCGGATTCAGTGTTTTCCAAAAATGTCTACATTCAATGAATGAAGGTTCACCACCATTCAGAATATGCAAATGAATGGGCCACAATCTCTTAAGGTATTTTAAAATAATACCTCACAATGTTCTGAGCCACTGCACCTCATGGAGGGTGATGACTCTGAAGGAAGCCCACTGTGAATGACTTGTAAGGGCCAACTTATCTGCTAAAACATTAGACTTAGTCACAGATGAATGGACTAAAAGGGGAGGAGAGCCTACTCTACCCTTTGCACTGCGCTGCCCAAGGAACTGTCCTCGTAAGAAGTATCATAAAGCACTGGCAGAAAACCATGAAGGTAAGGAATGTGATGAAATGTAACCGATGACCGAGAGCAGCTGAACAAGGACTCATTTCACAATGACATGTAGGACATCACACAGGAAATTGAAAGATTAGACTAAACATGCTTTCGTTAAAGAAACCCTGAGAGAAATCTATTAGGCAGCAGTGAAACCTGACAGAAGAAATGGGAGATGCAGCAGAGTCCTGAAGTCCAGATGTGAACATCTGTACGTTACCTGGTCTGGAGAGAGAGACATGGACCACAGAGCGCCGTCATGGGCATCCACGGTCTCCAGCAGCGTCCCCGAGGCCAAGTCATACAGCTGCAGCCGTCCTGTCTGTGGGCGACAGAACGAGCACAGCTCTGAGCAGCACACCCACTACTCCTGCCTGCGCGGGGCAGGAAAGACGTCACCGCCAAGCAGCAACACTGCGGCTGCTTGGAAATGGGCTCCACCCCATGCTCTGTACTCCTACCCAAATCAACGCAATGAAACCCCTGCTGACGTGCGGAGTTAACCCTGGCAGGGTGGCTATTCCTGTAGCACTCCTGCCATTTTCATTGGTTCCCCATCTTCAAAAGGTAAACATCATGGCCACAGGCCAATCAGAATAACCCTAACAGCACATGGCAAACCTGGAATCAGTCCTGTAAGTGGACTACGTCTGTGGAACTGGCTTAACCAACCCTTCCCCTTCTAGCCTTGGTTTCCTCTCTACCCTACACTGATAATCTACCTACCATGCTAGGGTGAGCAATGAACCTAAAAACATTGTAGCAGCTTAGAAAACATCGGCCATGCTTGCTCAGGACCCTGTGTAAGCTACGGCCACAGCGCCAACAGGGACCACACACAGCGGCAAAATCTGCTCTGAGCTTCTGCATGCCCGCTGGGAAGAGCATGAGGTGGAGACTGGAGTCCCAGGGCTGCCTCTTTCCAACTCAGTGACTGTTGGTGAAGTCATCTTTATGGGCCCGTTTTTTAAATCTGTAAAAGCCCACCTTTCTACACTGTTGTGGGGATTCAATGAGATAATGTACATTATCTGCCTAGCACAGAGGCTAGGCTAGGGGTTGTATTTTAGTCATACAGGTAGCCTTGAAAGGCATTTGCAAAATTGTCTCTCAACAGCAAATGGCAGATGAATATTTGTTAGAAGAATGAAAAATGAGGGAGACTTTTAATTGAATTTAATGCTCTTTCCCTGACAAGGACCCCACGATCTCTCCAGCTTATTTGTCACTTTGTGCTGGGCAAAGGATATCCATTGTGTTGCACAGGTTTTCTAATAAAATAATCATGCACACACGGCCCTGGTTTATGAAGATAAAAATGACAAACACTTGCAAAGCACTTTTCAAAACATTACATAGACCTTACTCCATTTATTCTCACTCCTACTCATTATTGCTACTTAAGGTACCAGCTCTTATTAGTAGCATGCTGTGAGCCAGGTTATTTACACCATTTTGCATGAGAAAACCAAGGCTTACAGGGTTAAGTAACTTGCCCAAAGGCCTCATAGCCAGTGAGTGGAAGGGCTGGGTGGGATTCAAACCGAGGTTCATCTGGGGGGAAAGCTGTCAGAAGCAAGCCTCATGATCCCATTACAGAGATAAGGAAACTCTAAGAGAAGTTATGGGACTTGCTCCAAATTACCCATTTCTTAAGGGAGAGATTCTGATTCCAAATCCACATCTGCTCATTCCCACATGGTATCCCCCAATCTGATGAGCAGCTGGGAATGAGGCCTTGGTCAGGTTTTTACTGAAGCTTCTATCTGCCAAGCATGAAGCTAGGTACTTAATGTATTTATCATTAGTCTTCTCAAATCACAATTACATTTGTGCTCAAAAAGATGCACAAAAGCCTGACCACCAAAATGTTAGTGACAGTTATCTCAGGGCGTGACTTTGTTTTCCACATAATTGACATAAGGTTTGATTTCTTAGAAACAAAGCAAAACCCTGAAAACAGGGACAATGCACACCCTCATGTTATCCAGCTCTAACACACTTCCACTAATGCTAAAAAAGAAGCCAGGTTTCTTAAACACCTTTTCGAATACTGAGTAGGATAGACACCAAAATCCAAGAAAAAAATCCCGATTTACCTTTGTTCCAATGACCACCTGCCTATCACCAGGTACAAAGAATGAGCAAAGCGCATATTCGCAGGTCATTGTGCGGATACACTGCAGTGTAGACCTGTGAAAGAGAAGGCGGAACATAAATGTTTGTGAAGAGAACCTGCCTCCCCACCTTACAGGTCAGGGTGTGTGTTCAATGCACACTTAGCCACACAAAGCGATCAACGTGAGAGAGGACAAAGCCCGAAGAACCCTGGCTCAGACCCAGTTGTAGTCAAGGGAGAAAAGCTTGTTTTCATTGCAGGAGCCTCCTCGTCTTGAGGAGCAGAGATTAGACAACAGCAGGCAGAAAAAGCATCTGCTGGCTCAGAAACCCCACCTGCCACTACACAGAAGTGAGCTCAGGATTGCACGTCAAATTAGCTTATTTCTATCTATCCCTATAAGTTCATTTATTGGACCATAAACATCCATTCAACAAATATATATCGCCAAAACCGGTTTGGCTCAGTGGAAAGAGCGTCGGCCTGCGGACTGAAAGGTCCCAGGTTCGATTCCGGTCAAGGGCATATACCTGGGTTGCGGGCACATCCCCAGTAGGGGATGTGCAGGAGGCAGCTGATCGATGTTTCACTCTCATCGATGTTTCTAACTCTCTATCTCTCTCCCTTCCTCTCTGTAAAAAATCAGTAAAATATATTAAAAACAAACAAACAAACAACTAAAACCAAGACTAAAAAATGTTTCTATTTATCCCAAGTTGGTGTTAAGGCTTGAACTGGGAAATTCCCTGAGACATTAACTCCACCAAATTTTGAGACAGAGTGTAGGAGACAATTCTAGGAATTAGTGATTGTGTGTGTATGTTTCATGAGATTCAGCTTGGAGTTCTGTGATTAAAAAATATAATAAGAATCTTTTTTTAAAAGTAGTGTCTTCCTCCCCTTCCCTTAAAATTTGCAGTGGCTGGTGTCAGCCTCAAACAATAGATTATGGAGGAAGTGATGCCAGAATACCTCTGAGTGTTGTTTGTAACAGGTCATGCATCTACTACCTGATTATTTTGGATCACTTTCTCTCTGAATGGTCCCTTTTGAGATACAATTTTTTATGATAAAAATTTCATTCTGGAAGATGTTCAAACTTCAAAGAAAGGCATCTACAGGTGTTTGGTGGCATTCCTTGCTGATCTCAGCCTTTGAGTCATCCCCACTCAGGCATTAGAAATGTGAGTAAAGAAGCTTCCCGATATTCAACTTTTCCCAGCTATTGGTGTGTTTCTATTAGAAACAAGCCATTTCCTCTGTGTTTGGTCCTAATTCCAGATGTAGAGAATGAGTGATCATAATGAAATCATAATGAGCCTTTAAGTCAAGATGATTTATTATATCCAATAAATAATTTGAACACCTAATAATTTGCTCTCAACCCGAACTGAATGGCTGATTGTAACCTATCTATTCTTCTTTTATCAAGATGCATTTATGTGAGCAATTCCAAGTTCTGGATAGAGCTATCATTAATAATTTCATCATAAAGAGAAAAATAGATACTATCAGGAAAAAACCTACCAAATTGGTCGGTCTCCTAAACCACTCCACTTAACACAGTCCCTATAGCTAAGCATAAGAAACATTTTCTAGATCATCTAGTTTGTCAAGGACAACCTAGCTGTACTGGGGCATTTAATAGGGGTAAGTACACCATTGAAGTAAGCAAAACTGATCTTATGGTTATCAAACATGGCAATAATAACTTCTTGTTAATTAAAGTAAAAACAAGAAGGAAGACAAGAATTACTGCTACTCCCAATAGACACAGTGAAAGTTGACAAGACTTACAAGGTAAACTCCAAATAATAGTTTTCACTTTAAAAAATATTTTGTACCCTAACTGGTTTGGCTCAGTGGATAGACTGTTGGCCTGCAGACCAAGAGGTCCCAGGTTCGATTCCAGTCAAGGGCATGTACCTTGGTTGTGGGCATATCCCCAATAGGAGGTGTGCAGGAGGCAGCTGATCGATGTTTCTCTCTCATCGATGTTTCTAACTCTCTATC